ACTTCTAGACCTTGCTAAGACTCCTACCCGACAGGTCTACAGATCGAACCCCTACTACCTACGGACCCGACGACAGTCTACCAACTGTTACAAATACACAGGTCACGGGTTCAACTCTCGGGGTCGACACAGGTACTGTACACAGGTAAGGTGAGAACTAGGGATCGAGCCCTGGGATCTGCATCAGCTACTGCTAACAGGTGAATACCGTTTCACTCCTGCCGGCCTAAATTCGAGGTCCTCCGAGAATAACTCAGTCCAAGGCAGGACCTTTACCTTTCTTATCTCTCTCGTAGGCCTTAACTATGTCGGGAGCTGTTTCTAGCAGTTCTGTTCTGGTAAACCAGCGATCGTCCGCCGGTTCCTGATAAGCAAACCGGACCTTATATTGCTTCTGTGGACGACCTCTACCTCCTGTTCTGAACACGTCTTCACCTACAATGCCGTCAATGTTGTATCTTTCGTCCATGTCAGGAGGGATCATGGACCTTCTAGATGGAAACTGCTGACTTGTGACACACGGCAATAACTTTGATGCATGAAACACAGGGTAGGTGTGGAGGTGTGATGGGATCTCTACTGTGTAGGACGGCCCATCCTCTCCGCCCTTGACTTCTAGAACTGGCCATGGTCCCCTGTACGCTGGCAGTAACTTCTGCAAGATGTTTTCCTCAGGAGCAAACTCTTTGGACTTGACCCAGACTAAGTCGCCTACTTGGAATTGCGATGGGTGATGATGCTTATTTGCTTGCTCTATCTCGTGTTGTATCGTGCTGTATCGCGAACTCCCTGGTACCGGGCGGTAGCCTATGAATCTGATCCCGGTTAAGTCCCTCAAACGGTCTGCACGGTCTAAAGGACTGGTGCAACTCGTTGGGAGTGCGACAGGTGGACAGATGCACGCTATTGTTTTACGCTCTGGCTACCTTGGGCAACATCTCATCCCAATTGACTTGATCAGGTCTAATGTACATGCGCAGAACTTGCTGCAGGATCTTGTTCATTTGCTCAGTCTGACCGTTAGTCTCCGGGTGACAACCAGATGACATCAACAACTTTGATCCATAGACTCTCATCAGTTCCTGCCAGTTCTAACTCGTGAAGCGAGTATCTCTATCACTAACAATAGACAATGGGACGCCATGCTCACTAACCCAAAAATAAAAAAACTTCTGAATTGCTAACTCAGTACGTCCCTCTGCAGGCAARGGAACAAAAACTGCATACTTGCTAAATCTATCAACTATGACCATGACTTGGCTCTTGCCGTGCCTACTCTTGAGGCCGGCTTCCATAAAGTCAACGGACACAGAATCTCCAAGTTGATCAAGAATAGGCAAGGGTCTGAGAAGACCTAGAGGGACACGCGTAGTACTCTTGTTTCTCTGGCATACTTTGCAACTGCGGACATACTCTATGCAGTCAGCTTTCATTCCTGGCCAAGTGTACACATGCGTCAGATTGGCTAGAGTCTTTTGCCTACCGAAATGTCCCTCTGTGTCATGGCATTCCCCTAGGATCAAACTACAAACCTCCTCGCTGTTAGGGACGCACAGACGGTCTACCACATTAATCTTCTCGAATAGCAACCCCTCTGTAGTGCGGTAATCTAGTTCGGTCTCTGGGGCCTCCTTAACTCTCTTGAAGAGGTCACTATAAATAGGGTCCTGCGCATACGCCTGTCTAACTCTCTCCTGCAGGTCACTCCCTATATCCAGATAGTGGACTATAGCTCCGAAGTATTCCGATTTCCTACTTGGAGCGACCGCAACTACACTGTACTTTCCTTTAACAGGCTTGAGCTCAAAGTCATACTGGTCTATCTCAGCGGCCCACCTAGTCAACTTAGGTGTCATTTTGGCATGTGTCTTCGACCACCTAAGTGTCTTGTGGTCTGAATACACCTTGAAGTGCCTCCCAAGCAGGTAATGCTTCCAATGCTCTAAGGCCTGCCTAAAAGCGTAGAGTTCCCTCTCGTACGTCGAGGTGGCTACCTTCTCTGAGGGCATCCTCGCTGACATGAACTCTACAGATTTGTAGCCATTGTTGTTGTCCTGCTGTAACACGGCGCCTATACCATATTGACTTGCGTCCGTGGTGACGACAAATGGCAAAGACGGATCTGCTACCTTGAGGACAGGATACTCTATCAACGCACGCTTTAACTTCTTTAGCGCAGACGTACAGTCTTTGTCCCACTGCCGGATCGCCTCTTTTTTTAGCAATTTGCGAAGGGGTGCGGCGATAGTCGAGAAGTTCCTTACGAACTTCCTATAGTAATTAGCTAGGCCTAGGAACGACCGCAACTCAGTCAACGTGCGGGGCATCGGCCAATCTCTAATCGCCGCTATCTTGTTGTCCTCCGGCTTAATGCCATCCCCGTCTAAAACGTGGCCCAAGTACAAGACTTGTGTCTTGGCCCACTCGCACTTCTTCGCATTGATCTTGAAGTTAGTTTCTCTTAGCTTCTCCAAGACTTGCCTCAAATGACCTTGGTGCTTTTGGAGGGTCCTACTGAATACTAAGATGTCGTCTAAGTAAACCACGACGAATCTATCTAACCAAGGCCTAAACAAATCATTCATACATCGCTGAAACGTAGCTGGCGCATTGGTCAGTCCAAAGGGCATCACTATGAACTCATAATGCCCATATCTAGTCCAGAATGCAGTCTTGTACTGGTCATCAGGATGGACCTCTATCTGATGATATCAAAACTTCAAATCGATCTTCGAAAAATATCTGCAACCCTGCACCCAATCTAAAAGATCGTCTATCCTGGCCAGCGGTTCATTGTTCTTCACTGTGATCGCATTTAGACCCCTATAATCTATACACATCCGTAACTACCCTTCCTTTTGGGGGACAAACAAATCTGGTGCTCCAAAAGGAGATGAACTGGGCCTAATCCAACCCTTTTCGAGGAGCTCGTCTAACTGCTTACGCAACTTCTCTAACTCCATTGGGGACATCCTGTCGACTGCTCCCTTAGGAGTTCTACTGTCAGGCTCTATCTCTATACGATGCTAGATTGGCCGCGGCACTACTCCTGTCGACGACTCTGTCAAATGCTTAAACTTTTCCAGCAGCTTGGCAATAGCTGGGTCTATGGGTGTGTCTTCCTTAGGCTCAGTGACAAGCCTCACATAGGCTACAAAGACCTGCTCCTCCAACTGCTCCTTTCTCACTAATCGTGCGAACGCGGGAGAACTGAGACAGCAATGTGCCAAGGAGTTATCTACTCCATACACATGAAACAGGCGGGCAGTCTTAACCTCGTCGGACGGACTACGGAGCCTACACTCATGCTCTCTCAAATGAAGTGTGGCCCCTGGTGCCTCTCCCCAATCCATGCCTAGGAATATGTCAAAAGGAAGGTCATCCTGTACGAGGACAGTCAGGGAATGGAGAACCTTCTCCACCTTCCCATCTTTCTCTAGGCGAAAATACGCTTGGACTCCCTCTACGTAGTCCTCAACACGCATACTGCGAATGTCTGCGAGGACACTAACTATGGGGTCTTCTAACCTTTGGACTTTTAACCCTAGCCTTAGCTTCTTCAGCGCTCTACGGCTAATATAACTGCGAGTGGCCCCTGAGTCTATTAGGGCCCCTACTCTACTCCTAAAGACCTCTACATCCACTAAGACTAGTTGTCCCTTACTATCCTTCTTCATTTTGGCCCAGGCAGGCATTCTCTCCTTCAACTCTTCTGCCACGCCTGTGAGGGAAGTGCCTAGAGAGACGCTAACACAAGCAGTTTCTGGACAGCTAGCTAGGCACCGACCTGCAACCTCTGTCAAAGGCACATGTGGTGCGGGAGTTTCCTGTTCGTGCGTGCTCGCTTCGCCACATGGCCTAGGCGTAGGGGCAGTTGCAACCCCTACCGGCGGCTGCCTTTTGACTCCTGGGCAGCCCATCGGGCCTCTCTGTACTTAGGACAATATTTAATGATATGGGCCGGGTCACCGCAATATATGCACTGAACCTGGTCCATACGCTGCTGCCATACTCGTTGGTCCAAGCCCAGATTTTCCCAAGGCCGGCCTTGTGGCCAACCTGGGTGCCAACCTCCTCTCCTCTGAGGTAATCCTCCACCCCGTCGCTGCGAGGACCGACTAGGCCCTTGACGATTTGGCGGGGGACCTTGACCCCTACCTCCCTCTTGGCGGTTCCTTTGGCCGCCAACCCCCTGTGCGCCCGGTCCTCGACCACCCGTGGCCTGGCCCCTTTGGCCCTGGCCTCCTCCCCTACCTTGCAGCCTCCCTTCGGCCGCGACAGCAGCATAGGTCCTCCCCTGGCCTACACTATTGTACTCCTCTAGCCCCCACTCGATCTGATTGTAGGGGACTTCGTCTGTACCACCTTCGCCTAAAGTAAGGATCAAATGATCCTTGGCCCTGACCTGGCCTGAGATGGTACGACCCTTCCACTTCTTTCCCTTATCTAAATCCTTAGCCAGAAAGTGGAAACTCGCATGGACTTGGCCTCAAACAGGACCACTTCTCGACTCAACGCATCATACGTGATGTTGGCCTGTTGGGTCTTGTCAAAGAAATGCCCTCGCAAGGGCTCTGGCATGGCACGATAGAATAATTGGACCAGCTGGGTCTCAGTGACCCCGTGGTCCAGGACGGCTACCAAGTCGTCCATGACAGCTTTGAGTGCTCGCGCACTCCTCCACTGTCGCGAGTGGATGGTTTGGAGCTTGTCAGAGGCCCTGGAGACGTCAGCGAACTCCTCACACAGGAGTTTGAGGAAGGTGGGGAGGGGTGAGCCTAGAATATGCAATCATATTGTGCTCACAATCAGCGGCGCGCGCAAGGGACCTAGCAAAGCTGGCCGCTTTTGTCCTTCAATGCGTAGAAGGCTACGAGGACTTGTTCCTCTGGGGCAATATGTTGTAAATAGACATATGTATTAATACTAGCCTCCCAATTATCGAAACTATCGTCCTTTTTCCCGCTACAAGCGTTAGGAAATTTGAGCTTGACAGGCTCTTTGCGGGGACGCGATGCGGCCTCTGCTGTGGCCACTACTTTGGCGCCTTCAACGACGCCGGCACAAAATTTCTTTGTGCCTTCCTTCAATCTTTTAACCTCGGTCCCAACGTGGGTCACCACGTCGCGCGCAAACTCTCTAAAACCTTACCGGATGGCATGAAGGGTCACATCTTGACCCTTGTTGACCTGATGCTCCTCAAGCCAGGCCTCGCTCAAAACCTCAAGGTACCCCAGACTCTTGTTTAACTCCGCGGGGATCTCTGGTTGTGCCTGCACCTCTTGTCTGCATGCCCGGACTTTCTCCACCTCTCTAGCCACCCGGTTGGCTTCCTCCCTCCTTCTCTTCTTCTCCCTGGTTGGTCGCAACTTCCACTCCAATCTCTTTTCATCTTCTGTTGTCTTGCGGTTCAGGAGGTCCTCCATCGCTTCCAACTCCCTAGCGAATGCTTCTCTCTGCTCCTGAGGCATGTACAACAGTGCCTCCTCATCCTCTCCCAAAGATAAATTAGCTACCCACTCGCTAATCTTTTTCTCCATCCACGCATCCTCTCCCTTCGTGCCACTGCTTTCCCCTCGTTCTTCCCTGCGTCTCCTGTCGAGGGGTATGTCTTCTACTTCTACCTCCTCTACTGCTGCTGCTTCTTCAGCAGCACTCCTCTTCTCTTCCTCCTCCTGCTCTAATCTCCTCATCTCTTCCTCCAACTTCTTCTTCTTCGCCGCTTGCTCCTCCGCTATCGCCTTTAACTTCGCCTGTTTGAGGAGCTCCTTCTTCTCCTTCATCTCCTTTCTCTCTTTCAGAATGGCGGTGGCACGCTCCTCTTGGGCCTGGGTGTAAGGGGTAGTGCTCTTCCCTCCACGGGTGTCAACCATGGTGTTAGGTGTACAACCAAACAACGGTTCCACTCCTCACCACTTAGACTCTACTCCCCCTGAATGACTCAACCTACTGACTCAGTCTAAGGACCACAGAATCCGGACAGGATCCTGTCAACTAGGGTCACTAGCCTAGACCTAAACTATGGCTGTCACTACAGGACATGTTGCTGATCAGGAGGCATTTAAGGAGATCCCCCCGTAACTCCTCAGGAATTCTTTAACGTCACAGACAGGACGACGCGATCAGCAGGTCCTCTCAAGACTTAGACGGCCTGTTGTGCAGCCCACAGCTCAGATTTTGGGCCTACCGTGCCACACCAAGCAGCCCGCCGGTCAATACCGATCCTTGGGAGGGTTCGTGTCCTCCGGGACAGTCGAGTCGTCAGACACAGTCTTTAGCCCTACTCAGCTCGTGTAGGTTTGGTCAACAAGGCCCTATCCTTCATCCACAGAGTCCTATCACCTGGACAGAAGAGACTCGATGCAAAAAGAAGAGATAGACAGACTTGACTCAGCAAGTACCACAGGGTGTGTGCACATCCATAGGGCGAGGGGATAGGCTGAAGGCTTGGAGAGATTATACCGGCTCCAGCTTGCTCAAAATCGTGGTCAACAGTCTTGGTCAACCCCTTGGTCAACGCTGCAGTCAACTCCCGGTCAACTCTGGTCAACACCCCAATCAACTCCGGTCAACGCCCCCAGTCAACTCCAGTCAATGCCCCCCTTCTCCTGCCTTTCTTCTTCCTCGCCTCTTTCTCCTTCACCCCATTTGTCTTCTCGGGGTTTTTTTTTTTTTTTTTTTTTTTTTTTTTTTTTTTTTTCCGTTCTCCCTTCTTCTTCCTCGGCTATGGTTCCCTCACTCCTTTCGGTCTCTCCCTCCGGTCTCTCCCTTCGTCCTCTCTTTTGCCTCCTTCGTCACTCTGTGGTCGAGCTCCGTGGCTATGGCCGCCTTCCTTCTTCTACGTTGGACTGCACAGTGGACTTCACAGG